GGGGGGCTTCTTCTTTTTGTTTGCACTATCTGAGATCGGAGAGAGAGAGAGGACTTGGATCTTGATTTGAGATCTTCGAGTTCCCCTTCGAGTTTGGCGTTTCTTTCCTTTTAGTACAGGGAAGAACTACGCGATTTTGCTAGGAAATCCCCACAAACGGCGCCAAATTGTTTGCTCAAAAGTTAACATATACCTTATGAGTGTAAACAATATAAATAAATCACGGGAAAATCATAGCAAACCGTAATAATCCATTAGACCAAATGAAAGATGCGCAAATAAGTACTCAGCGTTAGGAAGAGAAACATTAAAAGCTTTTATTGATAGTATTGCTTTGGTCTGCCTCTCCATGAAGAGGTTCAGAGCCTTACAATGATGTTCCACTTTCCCACAATATGTGTATCGTTAGATCTTTCTCTCTCTCTTCAATAGTAAAGAAGAAGCCCCCTTTCTAGGGTTTCCTCTCTTGGTATTTATAGCTGTGAGCTTCGTGAGTTGACAATAAGTGGCCGTGACCACGTTGGGGTTTCGTCTTCATGGTGACGGACGGGCCGTGGCCTTGTTGATCGAATCAGATAAGGGTTGAATACCGCTAATTCTGAGTGGTCGTACCACTAATCAATCATGAATTAACTTAAGACGGGATTAACTTCGTAATTATCGTGGGGTCGAATTCTGACCCATACAGATATAATATAATTAAAAATAACATTAATTAGCTTTTTAATATAATTGACAGGAAATATCGTGCAACTCACGTTTACAGAGACTAGTCATATCAAAAGTTAAAAAAAAAGGAGTTAATAGGAAAAAACAACTTGAACCGGCCTAACCCCGCATTCCTTGGGCAATATAAAAATAACACAGCGTTCAAATAAAACTCCAAAAAAGACCAAAACTTTTCAATCAAAGCTAAAATAGGAGAAGAAGAAGAAGAAAAACCCCACCATTCAAATTCTCCAATTAGGACACAAAAGGCAAATCGCCAACAGAAGAAGAAATCAGTACCTCTCAATCATATTCGCAAAGGTATTTATTTCTATCTGCTCTGCGTTCTTTTTTAATAACAAGTTAACAACAATGGTGTTTGAGTCAACTTTTATGTTGAGCCGAATTTAGGATTTGAAGTTTATGGTTCCTATAGTTATCTTAAATTAATATGCAATAATAACTGGCTTCATATTTAAATATTTAGATTTATTAATACATATACAAAGTCTGGGCAAAAGCTATTGGGTTCAGGTGCCCACCAAAATTAGGCATATAAGAAGATTTATTTCTCTTTTTTGCCTCCATTAACCCAGTGGCCAATGCAGCTTGAAAGCACCAAGTTCATCTGAACACAGTATTTTCGGCGCGGGTATATATGTGTAAAAATTCACTTGAATTGCAAAAAATAGTAGATATAAACCCCTTAACTTGGGTTTGTTGTTGTTGTTGTTGTAATGAGTTTGAGCCCTAGAGCTTAAATTATGAATCCACATCTGCATTAACCCCCGGGTACTATCGTGTAAATGGGGCTAACCACAAATTGTAATTGCAGGAAAAAGAGTTGTGGAGCTGTCAAAGAATACAAAGCAGATGGATATTGTCGATCAGGTGAGTTCATGATGTACCAATGGAGTTTATTTATCGGGGTTTGTTGGTCGGACTTAGATTCTATGTGTGTTGATTGCTATGGCTAAAAGGTGTATTTTCCATGTTTAATTTAGAATTAAATTGGTAAAATATGTTAACATGGTTGCGGTGTTTCTAAACTCTTGGCAAATAACTGAATTTGTCTATTATTTGAATACTTTAAAAATAAATTGACTGATAGCACTTTCTTGTTCTATCCAGGCAATGGAAGTTCACTTTCAAGAGGAAATACTTATGGACATCCTTAGCAGGTTACCTGTGCAGTCTCTTCTTCGATTCAAATGTGTTTCGAATTTTTGGAAAACATTGATCTCCGGGCCTTACTTTAAGATGAAGCATCTCAAACATGCCAAGAATGATGAAAATTCCCAAAAATTTCTCATTTGTGCCCTGAGGATGGTATATATTCCGTATACTGTTGTCCATTAACGTTGGTTCAACGGGTTGAGGATGTACGAAAACTTGATTGCCCTTCAGACTCTAAATTGTGGTATTGCTCAATCTCTTGTTGTTATAATGGCTTGGCTATTATTGAGGTTTGTGATAATATTGTTGATAAGCGCCACATACTTGTGCTATGGAACCCCTCCACAGGAGAATCAATAGTACTTCCTGATCCAGAATTTTCACCGAAGGGAGTTTCTTGTTTGGGATTGGGTTATGACTCAACTAGCGGTGACTATAAGATTCTTAAGGTTGACGAGAAGAAAGAGAACGGTTGCAAAGTACCTAGTGAAATTCTTGCGCTGAAAAGTGGTTCGTGGAGAAAAATTGATAAACATCCTCGTGACATTCACAATGAGTTGTTTGGTACGCATTCTTTGGCATTTGTACATGGGGCATTTCATTGGGTCGGTATTTCAAGAAATTATTTTGTGGTTTCATTTGATATTTCAAATGAAGTATACGGAGAGATACCACTGCCAGAGAAAATATTTTTGCGTAATATTGGCGTTTCAGTATTGGAAGAAATGCTTTTTGTTTATTCTACTTATGATTTTTTGCGGGAGAACACTTTTAAGTTATGGGTATTGAAAGACTATAGTGGCAATAAATCTTGGGATGCATTGTTTACTGTAGGAGATCCCCAGATTTATAAAGTCGTACCAAAATATAGGTTTGCGGATGGTGAAGTCCTATTCTGGTCCAGGGGTTTTGACGGGCAGTCATTTAGGACGTCCAGAGGACCATTTGGATTGTGGCCTCGAGCTGATAGCTTTCAGAATGGATTCGCTTCTACAGAAAGTTTGATCTCTCCAAAACTACTTACTTAGTATTTGCTTATATATGATCGAAGGCACTTTTCCTTTTTTCCGTTATCATGTTACAACCTCTTATTCTTCTTAGTTTATCTATTGCTCGCCAGTTTTTTGGTTTCAAAATGTATTTACCAAAGCTTTGAGCTTGCTTGTTTCATTCCCCCCTTCCTCCTCCTCTCTCTTCTACTTATTGATAGTCTAGTCTTATATACTAATTGCTTCAAGTAATGCACTGCTTATTCTTCAGCTATAGTTCACTGCAACGGTTCCGGTTCCTAGTTGGATTGATAATTAGAGCTATGAATTAATTCATTCATAATTGGATTATTAGACAATATCAGAAAGGACTGATCTTTTGAGTCTGTGAGTTAGGGCTTAAGTACAATGGTTTGAAGGGTGCTAAAACTTTCTGATAGACGAGACACAGTAGAGAATATCACATGTCATAAGGAGATTTATATATTAGGTTTGAGCTTGTGGCTGTGGAAGAAAGGGAGCCTTGGCGTAACTGGTAAAATTGTTGTCATGTGACCAGGAGGTCACGGGTTTGAGCCGTGGAAACAGCCTCTTGCAGAAATGAAGGGTAAGGCTGCGTATGATAGACCTTGTGGTCCGGCCCTTCCTTGAACCTGCTCATAGCGGAAGCTTAGTGCACCGGGCTGCCCTTTCTCGTTGCTGGGCAAGTGGGGCCAAATTGCAGGTGGTAAAATAGTTAAAGCCATCGGAAAATTATGGTGAATAGGGTTTGATGTCTTTGGTTTTGATGAGGTGCAATTTGTTCTTTTTTGTTTTTCTTATTTTATAAAGTAATATGTGCTGCTATAACTTATAAATTTTGTTGTTTCTATTTACTTCTATAGGTACTTTTCTCCTCTTTTTTTCTCCTCACAAAGTTAAAAGAAATACTCGTACGAGTAAACGAATTTTGCAGCTGTTTATCCTTATTGAAAAATAGCTATATTTTGTGTAATGAAGATTGTGATTATAATTAGATTGCAGCTCAAGCAAAATGGATTGTCTTGCAATGGATTCTATTTTGTTTTTTAACTTTTTGGTCATTAAAGTATGTTTTAATCGTATAATAAGTTTTTACTTTGGTTCTATGCTTTTATATGAATCTTTTTGCCTTATCATAAATTTATAGGCCAATTAACATATGGAGAACTTCTAATATATTTTTATATTATACACAGAGACATATTTACATATTGCTTAAATTATGTACTTTTATTTTATAATATAATGAAGGATTGAGATAGATTTAAATAGGGTTGTGCATAATTTGGTAAATGCTGAATTATCGTACAGAAATCGAAAATTTTGGTATTTGGTATTGTTGGAAAATTAGTGATATCTCAAAAGGTAATGTCCATCTTGGTTTGGAAAAAATTTTCTCTTTGAAATATTATTTACATCTACTTATTATTTACCAAGTTATGTTACAATTAATAGAGTCAAACTAGCCGTTACTAGCCGTTGGAGCAACACCTATATAAACATGGTCTTGAAGAGCTAAAGACACACTTTCTAATACAACTTTCTGAATCATCTTCTTCCTTCTATATGCTGGGTTTCTTTCTTGAGTCTTCTGCTAGTTCTGTTCCCGGTTTAATAACTGGAAGAGCTTGTAGAATCCTAAGGGATACGCCTAATTTTATTTATCACTGTGTGGGCGAAATATCCTTAAGGACAGTGTCCTTGACATGCGTCAAGCTAATTCATATTCTCTGTAACCAATTTTTTCAACAATCTTAAGGATATTTCCACATTATTATGGGGAATAACGCTGCTAATGTTGCTATTGATGCTAATTTACCACTTTATTCTTATGAAGAATATGAACTAAGTATATTATTCACGTTGACGTTTTCTGCATTGTTGCTGCTGTATTCGTACTTTTGGACCTCAAAATTGGATTCTGGTAGACTTTAAACACGGTAGCTTGCTCCACTTGATATGTTATGTGACATAATATTTAACTACCTGTCACGATCCTAGACCCACACCCGGTTGTGATGGCGCCTCTCGTGAAGACAAGGCCAGCCGACACACTTCCAATTCACTTTAAGCTGTTAAAATAATAAACCAAGGTCTTTAATATAAATAAATCCCAAAAATAACGATATAAGTTGCGGAAATAAAATAAACCAACACAACCCTACATCGGGGTGTCACCAGTCATGAGCATCTAAAACAATACTAAGAGTCTAGAGTCTAATTCACTGCTACATAACTGAATCAAAAGAAAACTGAAATAGATGGAGAATGCACTGGGCTGCGAATCGCCAAGCAGCTACCTAGTAAATCTCCGAAGACCTGCTGGAACATCAACCCTCAGGAGCAGGACCTGTAGCGCTCGAATCTGCACACAGGGGTGCAGGGAGTAAAGTGAGTACTCCAACTCAGTGAGTAATAAAAATAAATGAAGACCGAGTAATATAAAACCACGTAAGGCACAACATTAAGCTAAAGAGGCATAGCAAAATCAGTAGATATAATTAAGCAGTGAAATCTCATAAACATTCTTTAAACAGTTAAACAATATGCAGGGAGAACAACAGAAAAGTAAACACATAATAACCGCCCCTCAGGCACAGTAACAACGGAATCAGCCCCTCGGGCAATGTCACAGAACAATACCAGCCCCTCGGGCTATATCTCATATCATAATGGGTATCCGCGCTCACTGGGGGTGTACAGACTCCGGGAGGGGCCCCTTACGGCCCAAGCGCATAATCAAGCCATCTCGTGGCATCATAAACAGGCTCTCGGCCTCATATAAATCTCAAGCCACCTCATGGCGTACAATCTCAGGCCCTTGGCCTCATTATCATAATCAATGAATCACTGCTGCGGCGTGCAGCCCGACCCAAATGTATTCCTCACAACACAGGCCCTCGGCCTTACTCAGTCAGAATCTCATAAGCCCCTCGGGCCACAGTAAAATATGAAGCTCAGCTCAAATACCTTTGAAAATATCATTTAATGTGTTTAAAACAGAATAATATAGCTGAGTCTTTAAAATAGTAAAACATAGTATGACTGAGCACTAGTATGAAATCAATCAGTGAGGAAAATATCATTTAAAAATCCCCTAAGGGTTCAAACAGCTGGCACGAAGCCCACATATGGCATTTATCCCAAAATATAATAATATTAAACAATTAACTATCAAATACGCAGTAAAATAATCATTCGGGATGGACTAAGTCACAATACCCAACGGTGCTCTACCCTATGCTCGTCATCTAGCGTGTAAGTCACCTCAACATAGCCGTACGCTGTGAAATTTCGAGGTTTCACACCCTCAGGACAGCATTTAAAATCATTACTCACCTCAATCCGGCCCGAAATCTAGCTTGCAATGCCTTTGCCCTTCGAAACAACTTCTGAGTGCTCCAAATCTACCAAGTTCAGATTTTTATTATTAAATTATGCTAAACGAATGAATTCCAATTGAAAAATATCGATTTTAAGCACAAAATACGAAATCAGTCAAAACCGACCCCCGGGCCCGCGTCCCGGATATACCAAAATGTTCTTCATCATCTCATGAGTCCGTACATATAAAGAACTCGAAAATCGTAGTTCGTTTGACCCCTCAAATCATCCCTAGAAGGTCTCATAATCTCAAGCCCTAACTCCACCTTTTCTACTGATTTTCAGGAATTAAACACTGATATTTCGTTCCTTAATCACAAATAATTGAGTTTTAGGGTCCAAAATCCTTACCTCAATGAAGAACAATGATTTCCTCTCTTCAAAATCGCCTCAAAGCTCTTTTTCCCGTTCAAAAAATGGTGTAAAAGGGTTCAAAGTCGCGGAACAGGTCTTTAAAACATTCAGCACAAATACTCAGCTCCCAAAAATTACTCTATGCGAACGCGTGAAATACCATGCGAACGCGATGCTCAGACCTTTTATACTACGCGGTCGCGGACCAACTACCGCGTTCGCAAAGAACAATCTCCAAGCCAACACCCCTGGTCCACTTACTCTTCGCGAACGCGACCTTCACTACGCGTTCGCGATCAACAACTTCCTCACCTCTATGCGATCGCAACCCAACCTCCGCGAACGCGAAGAACAACTGGACCTCCCCCTCAAAACCCTCTACGCGATCGCGAGAGTCCCTACGCGATCGCGAAGAGAAATCTTCTGCAACAGCTCAACCTGCAATTTCTGCAACTCCAAACTTCATGAAATGGTCCGGTTGACCATCCGAAACTCACTCGAGGTCTCCGGGACCTCAACCAAAGGCACCAACATATCCTAAAACCTTATTCAAACTTGTACCGATCTTCAAAACACCTCAAACAACATCAAATCAACCAAAACACAATTCGAATTCAAGTCTAAGTTTCTAAAATCTTCCGAACTCCGCTTTTGATCAAAAACCCGACCAAACCACATCCGAATGACTTGAAATTTTACACACACATCCCAAATGACACAACGAAGCTACTGCAACTCTCGGAATTCCATTCCGACCCCTATATCAAAATCTCACCTATCAACCGAAAAACGCCAAAAACTCAATTTCGCCAATTCAAGCCTAAATCTACTCCGGACCTCCAAAACACATTCCTATCACACTCCTAAGTCCCAAATCATCTCCCGAAGCTATTCGAACCATCGGAACTCACATCCGAGCCCTCTAACGCATAAGTCAACATCCGGTTGACTTTTCTAACTTAAGCCTTCTTAAAAGAGACTAAGTGTCTCAAACCTTCTCAAAACCTTTCCGAACCCGAGCCAACCAACCCGATCACATTTAAAACCAATAATTAAGGAAAATAGAAGCAGAAATGGGGAAAATGCAGCGGTAACTCATGAGACGACTGACCGGGTCATCACATCCTCCCCAACTTAAACAAATGTTCGTCCTCGAACGAGTCAAGAAACATACCTGAAGCCTCAAACAGGTGAGGATATCTGCTCCGCATCTCCCGCTCGGTCTCCCAGGTAGCCTCCTCCACGAGCCGACCTCTCCACTGCACTTTCACCGAAGCTATATCTTTTGACCTCAACTTTCGAACCTGACGCTCCAAAATAGCTGCTGGTTCCACATCATAAGTAAAATCACCCTCCAACTGAACCGTGCTGTAATCCAGAACATGAGACGGATCTCTAATATACTTCCGGAGCATAGAAACATGGAATACTGGGTGCACACCTGACAGGCTGGGTGGCAAGGCAAGCTTATAAGCCACCTTCCCAATCCTCCGAAGTACCTCAAAAGGTCCAATGAACCGTGGACTTAATTTACCCTTCTTTCCAAACCTCATAACACCCTTTATGGGTGAAACCTTCAACAGAACCTTCTCACCAACCATATAGGACACATCACGAACCTTCCTGTCAGCATAGCTCTTTTGTCTCGACTGCGCTGTACGAAGTCTCTCCTGAATCACCTTCAACTTGTCTAAATCATCCTGTACCAAATCTGTACCCAATAGCCTGGCCTCGCCCGACTCAAACCAACCTACAGGAGACCTGCACCGTCTCCCATACAAAGCTTCATATGGAGCCATCTGAATACTTGACTGGTAGCTGTTATTATAAGAAAATTCCGCGAGCGGTAGGAACTGATCCCATGACCCTCCGAAATCAATAACACAAGCGCGTAACATATCCTCCAATATCTGAATAGTGCGCTCGGATTGTCCGTCCGTCTGAGGGTGAAAAGTTGTGCTCAACTCAACCTGAGTACCTAACTCTCGTTGTACAGACTTCCAAAACTGTGAAGTAAACTGAGTGCCCCGATCTGAAATGATGGAAACTGGGACACCATGCAACCGAACAATCTCCTGGATATATATCTCTGCCAACTGCTCTGAAGAATAAGTAGTGCAGATAGGTCTGAAGTGCGCGGACTTGGTCAGCCGATCCACAATCACCGAAATAGCATTGAACTTCTTCAAAGTCCGTGGGAGCCCAACTACAAAGTCCATAGTGATCCGCTCCCACTTCCACTCTGGAATATCCATCCGCTGAAGCAAGCAACCCGGCCTCTGATGCTCATATTTCACCTGCTAACAATTGAGACACCGAGCTACAAATCCCACAATGTCTTTCTTCATTCTTCTCCACCAATAATGTTGTCTCAGATCCTGATACATCTTCGCGGCTCCTGGATGAATAGAATACCGCGAGCTATGGGCCTCCTCCAGAATCAACTCCCGAAGCCCATCTACATTGGGCGCACATATCCGGCCCTGCATCCTCAACACCCTATCATCACCGATAGTCACATCTCTGGCCTCATCATGCTGAACTCTGTCCTTAAGGACAAGCAAATGTGGGTCGTCATATTGGCGCTCTCTGATGCGCTCATATAGGGAAGACCGAGAAATCACACTAGCCAATACCCTACTGGGCTCCGAAATATCCAACCTCACGAACCGATTAGCCAAAGCCTAAACATCAACTGCAAGAGGTCTCTCCCCAATTGGAATATACGCCAAACTTCCTATACTCACCGCCTTTTGGCTCAAAGCGTCGACCACTACATTGGCCTTCCCCAGGTGATATAATATAGTAATGTCATAATCCTTAAGTAACTCCAACCATCTCTGTTGCCTCAGATTGAGATCTTTCTGCTTGAACAAGTGCTGGAGGCTACGATGATCAGTATACACCTCACAAGACACACCATACAGATAATGCCTCCAAATCTTCAACGCATGAACAATGGCAGCCAACTCCAGATCGTGAACAGGGTAGTTCTTCTCATGAGGCTTCAACTGACGAGAAGCATAAGCAATAACTCTACCCTCCTGCATCAAAACACACCCAATACCAACTCTCGAAGCATCACAATATACGGTATAAGAACCTGAAGCTGATGGCAATACTAGCACTGGAGCTGTGGTCAAGGCAGTCTTGAGCTTCTGGAAGCTCTCCTCACACTCATCAGACCACTGAAATGAAACACCCTTCTGAGTCAACTTGGTCAAGGGCGATGCAATAGACGAGAATCCCTGAACAAACAGGCGATAATAACCCGCCAAACCAAGAAAACTGCGAATCTCTGTAGATGAGGACGGTCTGGGCCAACTCTGAACCGCCTCTATCTTCTTCGGGTCCACCTGAATACCCTCACTGGACACCACGTGCCCCAAGAAAGCCATTGAACTGAGCCAGGACTCACATTTGGTGAACTTTGCATAAAGCTTCTCCTCTCTCAATCTCTGCAACACCATTCTCAAATGCTCCGCGTGCTCCTCCTGACTACGCGAGTACACCAGAATATCATCGATGAAGACTATGACAAACGAGTCGAGATACGGCCGGAACACACTGTTCATCAAGTGCATGAACGCTGCTGGGGCATTGGTCAGCCCGAAAGACATCACCAAGAACTCATAATGACCATATCGGGTCCTGAAAGTTGTCTTAAGAATGTCTGAGTCCCTGATCTTCAACTGGTGATAACCTGAGCGGAGATCAATCTTAGAAAATACTCTCGCTCCCTGAAGCTGGTCAAACAAATCATCGATACGAGGCAAAGGATACTTGTTTTTAGTTGCCACCTTGTTCAACTGCCTGTAATCAATGCACATTCTCATCGTGCCATCCTTCTTCTTTACAAAGAGAACCGGCGCACCCCACGGTGACACACTAGGACGAATGAACCCCTTATCCAAAAGTTCCTGAAGCTGCTCCTTTAACTCTTTCAGCTCCGCTGGTGCCATACGATATGGTGGAACAGAAATGGGCTGAGTGCCCGACACCGGTCAATACCAAAATCTATATCCCTATCCGGTGGCAAAACCGGCAGGTCTGCAGGAAATACGTCGGGAAAATCCCTCACAACTGGAACAGAATTAATACTGGGAGTCTCTGCACCGACATCCCTCACAAAAGCTAGATATGAAAGACAACCTTTCCCAACCATACGCTGGGCCTTTAAGAAAGAAATCACTCTGCTGGGAACATAATCGGTCGAACCTCGCCACTCAATCCGTGGCACACCAGGCATAGCCAAAGTCACTGTCTTGGCATGACAGTCCAGAATAGCCCGGCATGGAGATAACCAGTCCATGCCCAAAATAACATCGAAGTCCACCATACATAACAATAACAGATCCACTCGGGTCTCTAGACCCCCAATAGTCACAACACACGACCGGTACACACGGTCTACCATAACAGTATCGCCCACGGCGTAGAAACATGAACAGAAGAAACAAGGGTCTCGCAGGGCATATCCAGATAATGGGTAAAATAAGACGACACATAAGAGAAAGTAGAGTCAGGGTCAAATAACACAGAAGCATCCCTGCGGCAGACTGAGATAATACTTGTAATCACCGCATCTGAAGCAATCGCATCAGGACTAGCTGGAAGTGCATAGAACGGGCCTAACCACCACCGGATCAACCTCCCCCTCTGGGGCAGCCCCTAGATGACTGTCCTCCACCCCTAGCTAGCTGGGTGGGTGGTGAAGTGGCTGGGGTTGAGGCTGATGGCTGACCCCTCTGCTGAGATGAACCCCCAAGACGACGAGGACACTTCCTCCACATGTAACCCATCTCTCCACACTCATAGCAACTCCTGGGTGCTGGAGACGGGGACTGATGGGAAACCCTAGCACCGTAATGACTAGCAGACGCACCTGGCATAGAAGAATCCTGAACTGATGGAGCATGGGACGAACCCTGGGCTGGAAGTGCACTGAGTGAGGAATGACCCTGCTGAGAACCGTGTGAACCCTGGCCTGACGATACCCCACGATAACCTGGGCGAGCTGACTGAGCATGCCTGAACTGACGGCCTCTGTCGTGCTGATACTGGCCCCTCGGAGGAGCGCCCCCATAACTACCATGACCTCGAGGCCTCTTGGCCTCACTCTCCTCGCGCTCCTTGCGACGAACTGACTCAATATCACGTGCAATATCCAGAACCTCCTCAAACATAGCACCTGACACTCTCTCCCTAGTCATGAGAACCCGAAGCTGGTAGGTGAGACCATCAACAAACCTCCTGATCCTCTCTCTCTCCATAGCAACCAGCCAAATAGCATGCCGAGCTAACTCTGAGAACCTCATCTCGTACTGAGTAACAGTCATCTCCCCCTGTCATAACTGCTCGAGCTGCCTGCGCAGCTCCTTCCTACGGGACTGTGGGACATACTTCTCCAAAAATAGAGCGAAGAACTGCTGCCAAGTCAGAGGTGCCGAACCAACAGGCCTACGCCTCTCATATGCCTCCCACCAAGTGAAGGCAGCTCCGGTAAACTGAAAGGTCATGAATGCAACCCCGCTGGTCTCCAGAATACCCGCAGTGCAAAGAATCCTCTGATAACTATCTAAGAAACCCCCGGCATCCTCGCCCTTTGCACCACTGAAAGTAGGAGGCTGGAGCCTGCCAAACCTCTCCAATCTATATTGCTCGTCCTCCGGCATAACAGGAGCTGCATAACCCTGAGCAGCTGCCACCGGCTGGGCTAGTAGTGCCTCTGGTGTTTGCACTCCCTGAACCACCGGATCGGGTGTGCGGGCGGCGGGAGTCTAGGAGCCTTCCCCTGCCTGAGAAGTGGCTGCGGCAGTAGAAACCGCGACCACCTGAGAAAGGCTGGTATATACTGTCAATATCTGAGCCAAAGTCCCCTGAAGACCCGGAATCACAATGGGCACAACTGGTGCCTGAGCTGGTGCTGCTGGAGCGTCCACCACTGGGACCTAACCCTGAACTGGGGCGGCTGGTGGGTCTGCAGGTGCTGTCCCAGCTGCTGTGGGGGTTGTACCTCTACCCCTACCCCGGCCTCAACCACGTCCTCGGCCTCTCGTGGCTCCCGCTGGTGGTACTGGTGGTCGTTCATCCTGACCGGTAGCGCGTTTCCTCACCATCTGTGAGAGAATAGAATAACACAAGTTTAGTACTCAGATCAACAATTTCGCACGACAAGAATTTCAAGAATATGGAATTTTTCTTAAGGTTCTGCAGCGTCTCGAGGATAAATACAAACATCTCCGTACCGATCCGCGAGACTCTACTAAACCTGTTCATGACTTGTGAGACCTATGTAACCTAGGCTCTGATACTAACTTATCACGACCCTAAACCCAACCAGGTCGTGATGGCGCCTCTCGTGAAGACAAGGCCAGCCGACACTTTTCCAATTCATTCTAAACAATTAATAAGAATAAAAACTAGTCTTTAATCAGAAATAAAATCCCAAAATAAGCATTTTACAGTATAATTTGCGGAAAATAAAAACCAACACAGCCCGACATCGGGGTGTCACCAGTCATGAGAATTAGAACAATACTAGAAGTCTGAAGTCTAATCCACTAATACATAACTGAATCAAAAATAACTAAGATAGAGGGAGAATGCACTGGGCTGCAAATCGCCAAGCAGCTACCTAGTAAATCTCCGAAGATCTGCTGGAACTATCAACCCTCAGGAGCAGGACCTGTAGCGCCCGAATTTGCACACAGGGGTGCAGAGAGTAAAATGAGTAATCCAACTCAGTGAGTAATAAAAATAAATGAAGACTGAGCGATATAAAATCACGTAAGGCACAACATTAAGCTAAAAGAGGCATAACAAAATCAATAAATATAATTAAATAGTGAAATCTCGTAAACACCTTTTTAAGTAGTCAACAATATATAGGAAAAACAACTAGAAGAGATAAACACATAAGAACTGCCCCTCAGGCTCAGTGACAACAATAGAATCAGCCCCTAGGGCAATATCATAGAACAATACCAGCCCCTCAGGCTATATCTCATATCACAATGGGTACCCGCGCTCACTGGGGGTGTACAGATTCCGGGAGGGGCCCCTTACGGCCCAAGCACAATATCAAGCCATCTCGTGGCATAATCAATAGGCTCTCGGCCTTATATCAACAAGCAACCTCGTGGCGCAATATCTCAGGCCCTCGGCCTCATTAGTATAATCAGTATATCACTGCTGCGGTGCGCAGCCCGACCCAAAATATCCTCACAGCACAGGCCCTCGGCTTTACTCAGTCGGAATCTCATAAGCCCCTCGGGCAATAGTAAAATATGAAGCTCAGCTCAAATATCTTTGAAAATATCATTTTATGTGTTTAAAACGGAATAACATGGTTGAATTCTAAAAATAGTGAAAATGTAGTATGACTAAGCACCAGTATGAAATCAAACAGTGTGGAAAATATCATTTAAAATCCCCTAAGGGTTCAAAGAGTTGGCACGAAGCCCACATATGACATTTAGCCCAAAATATAATAATATTAAACAATTAACTGTCAAAATATGCAGTAAAATAGTCATTCAGGATGGACTAAGTCACAATCCCCAACGGTGCACGACCCCACGCTCGTCATCTAGGTGTGTCTCACCTCAACATAGCCGAACGCTGTGAAATTCCGGGGTTTCACACCCTTAGGACAGCATTTAAAATCATCACTCACCTCAATCCGGCCCGAAATCTAGCTTGCAATGCCTTTGCCCTTTGAATCGATCTCCGGATGCTCCGAATCTACCAAAATCAGAACGTAACCATTAATTTATGCTAATGGGACGAAGCCCACTCGAAAATAATCGAAAAACATCACAAAATCCGAAATTACCAAAATCCGACCCCCGGACCCACGTCTCGAAATTCGATAAAATTAACATCATTAGATTCCTTATCTCCCCACGAGTTCATACATATAAAAAGTTCCAAAATCCGACCACAAATGGTCTTCCAAAACCTCAATCAAAGGCCTAAGTTTCTAAGCCCTAGTTTCTCAACTTTTCCTTTAATTACAGCTCTAATCCATGCATTAACACCATAAAAACGAGTTTTGATAATCCAAAACCTTACCTCAATGATGTCTCCTTGATTTCTCTCTTCATAATCGCTCAAAGCTCCAAAATTTGTGTTAAAAAGTGAGAAAACCTTCTGAAAATCGCGAAGGAACTAACTTATATTTCTGTCCAGACATTTCCGCATCTGCGGTCCAATTACCGCTTCTGCGGTACCGCATTTGCGGCCAATGAACCGCTTCTGCGGTTCTTCACTTAACCGGCCCTTTCCGCATCTGCGATGGGCTTCTCGCACCTACTCCTTCGCAGATGCAACCACACAACCGCTTCTGCGGTCCCATCCAAATGCACCTCTAGCCGCTTCTGTGGTCCCTCTTTCACATATGCGGCACCGCACATGCGGTCCCCAATCCGCAGGTGCAAAATTACCAGAAGCAGCACAATCTGCAGCTGCAACAATTCCTCAAACTCCCCGTCAACCATCCGAAATCACCCCGAGGCCCCCGGGACCTCAACCAAAAGCAAAATCATATCGCATAACCTTATTCAAACTGGTACCAATATTCAAAACACTTCAAACAACATCAAAATCACCAAAACTCATCGAATTCAAGCCTAAGGTTCTAAATTCTTCTGCATTCCTCTTTTGACCAAAAAACCAACCAAACCACGTCCAAATGACCTGAAATTTTGTACACACATCCCAAATGACATTACGAAGCTACTGCAACTTCCGGAATTCCATTCCGACCCCTATATCAAAATCTCACCTATCAACTGGGAAACGCCAAAAACTCAATTTCGCCAATTCA